TGCTGCTCTCCTCCTCCTCCTCCTCCTCCTCCTCCTCCTCCTCCTCCTCCTCCTCCTCCTCCTCCTCTCCTCCCGCCCTCACCCTCACGTCTCTTCAACTCCAGCTGCAACTGCTCCACTAGATCCCCCAGCTGACGTCGAGCTCGCTTCAAGTTCTCGTAGTCCTCGGGAGTTTCCTGCTGGACAGCAGGCGCCTCGACCGATCTCGATCTTGCAGCAAGCAGCGATCTGCAACACAAGACAATACAACAAGTGAGCATAAAATGCATGCTTGTAACTTACGTCCGCTCTCACCTTAGCTCGTCAGTTTGCTGCTCGAAATACTGCCTTTCCTCTTTGCAACGTATCAGCTCTGCTCTCAGCCCCTCAACCGCAGCCTCCACCATCCTGTCTGCCTCCTTCCTCGCCGCCTCCTCCAACCTCCTCACTTCATGCCGCAGGGCCTCGTTCTCTGCCTGTAGCTGCTGCATAGCAAGCTTGCTCTCCTCGAACTTCGACTTCTGTACCCTCTCCCTCCTCAGCTCTTGCGACAGATCGTCGATGTCCCTGTCTTGCATCGTGACCTTGGCGTTCCAGCTTGCCTCCAGCTCGTCCTTGCTCGCTGCATGGACCCTCAGCACTTCATTCTCCCTCACCAGTTTGTCCACATGAGACTCTAGAGTCGCGATCTTCTCTGACATGTGCCGAGCTGCCTCCGACCTGGCCCTTCTCGAGCCTTCCAGATCTTTCGTTGCCTGCTCTAGAGCCTTCTCGAGCTCCTTCTTCTCTCTCGCAAGCTGGTTCACCCTCCCCTCTGCTTCCAACAGCCTGTCCCTCACCTCCATGCTCCTCCGCAGCTCCTTCCCTCCCATCCCACTGATCCTGCTCTCCTCTGACGGTGCGAAAGATAAGGACGACGAGGGTCTGACACCTTCCCAGCGTCCGCGCTCTGCTACTCCCGTCTCCGACAAGCCACTTATCCCCCCGTGTGCCCATGACGCTGTCGAGGACGACAGCTCTTGCTCGCTCTTATACGTCGGCAGGCCGAAGAGCCTTCGCTTCAGACTTGAGCTCTTCAGTTCACCGTCCTCGCCTCCTTCCCCGAGCCTTCCAACATCACTACCTCCTCCTGATGCTGCTGCTGCTGCTGCTCCTCCTCCTCCTCCTCCTCCTCCTCCTGGCCGCTGCCCAGATCGCCCGTCGTACCCCCGCATTGTCCAACGGCTGGAATGACAAGGGATCAAGTCCGCCTCAGATACGAGTGATGGACAACTAGAGGAGCCTGGGATTTATCGTAAAGACACTGAAAGGTGAAGAGAGGAGAGGAGAGGAGAAGAGGTGAGCAGACAAGACCAGACCAGAGAGGAGACGAGAGGAGACGAGACGAGGTGAGCAGACAAGACCAGACCAGAGAGGAGACGAGAGGAGAGTAGACCAAGCAGAGCAGAGCAGAGCACGGCAGAGCAGAGCAGAGCACGGCAGAGCAGAGCAGATTGGAGTGGAAGTGAGCGGGAGAGGAGGAGGAGGAGAGCAGAGCAGAGCAGAGCAGAGCAGAGCAGAGCAGAGCAGAGAAGAGCAGAGCAGAGCAGAGCAGAGCAGAGCAGAGCAGAGCAGCAGAGCAGAGCAGAGCAGAGCAGAGCAGAGAAGAGGGGTGCAGAGGAGAGGAGAGCAGAGCAGAGCAGAGCAGAGCAGAGCAGAGCAGAGCAGAGCAGGAGAGGAGAGGAGAGGAGAGGAGAGGAGAGGAGAGGAGAGGAGAGGAGAGGAGAGGAGAGGATGGAAATGGAAAGGGAGCGGGAGAGCAGAGCAGATGAGATGAGATGAGATGAGAGTCAAGGGAGAGCAGAGCAGAGCAGAGCTGCTGGGAACACACTCGCCCCTTTTGCTTTTTACATCATTCTGCTCTCATTTTTCCCTTCGCTCAAATTTCACAGTCTCAAATAATTTCTCAGCAGAGAAGGAGAGGAGACAGGACAGGACAGGACAGGACAGGACAGGAGAGAAGGAGAGAAGAGCAGAAGAGAGGAGGAGAGAAGAGGAAAGGAGAGGAGAGAATCAGAGGAGAAGGGGAGGAAAGGACAGGACAGGACAGGACAGGACAGGACAGGACAGGACAGGACAGGACAGGACAGGACAGGAGAGAAGGAGAAAAGAGGAAAGGAGAGGTGAGGTGAGGAGAGGAGGAGAAAATAAGAGTGGGGGATGGTAATGGGAAGGGAGCGGGAAAGCAGAGAAGAGGAGAGGCAAGGATGGAAATGGGAAAGGAGGGGACAGGACAGGACAGGAGAGAACTGGTTGGAGTAGTGTGGAGTAGTCTAGAAGAAAAGGCAACTATGAAATTGTCAATGATTGACATGGAGCGGAAAGGAGTTGATGAAATCAAGCTTGACTTAGCTCTCAATCAAATCAAACACAAAAACATCATTAAACATCTGATTCTTCTCTAGATTTGACTCTTCCCTTCTTTTGAGCCATCTCCCGCCGGCTCTCTCTTCTCCTCCTCCTCTCTGTCCTCTTCCTCTTCTTCGGCTCGAGCCCCCTTCTCTGACTCAAGCTCACCCGCTATGAACTGCCTCCAGTCGAAGCTCTCCGGATCCGGCGATGTCTCTTCCCTGGACCTGTTCGACGGCGAGCTCTTGCTCGTGTCCTCAGAATCCCATGCGGAGGCAGTGCTCATCGTCCTCGTGTACCTCCCCCACGACTTTCTGTCCCAGATGTCTCGCACGGTCTTGGAGCTCACGCCGTAGCACCTGCCTACGATCTCGCTCTCTGCAAACTTGTTGCTGGAGTCCAAGACCCTCTCCTTGAAGATGCGGACGGCAAGGTCGGCGGTGAGCTTGCGGCTACGAGGGTCGTGGAGCTTGTGTTGTATACACAACCTTGCGTAAGACGTTGAGCTCAGATGATCTTAGGATCTCTGTTTATTAAGCACACACACTCATCAGATCAGCAGCACCACTGCAGGAATCTGCATCGTCATCCTATTTCCCTACGCTACGTCCAAGGGGCGTCCGGTATGAGTCCAGAATACAACATCGCTCCCACTGCGAGACGACAAGAAGGTCCACCTGTCGTTGACTTCGCTCAGAAGAATCTTGAGTTAAGGATCAGCAGAAGAAGAGGAAGAAGAGCGGCGGGAAGGTGACGCTTGAGCTAATAAAGAAGATTCAAATTGTTGAATTAAAGCACGAATACCAGATTTCTTGTTGAGTTCAGAAGCTGATTTCCAGGAGTGATCAGCTGGGTTAGGGTAGCCTTTCCAATGAACAAGATATTGGATACCACGACCTCGTTGACGTTTGTCGAGAATTTGTTCCACTTCGTATTCAAGTCCTTGAGCTGTCGAAAGAGGATCCGGTCGATCGACGTGAAGCTCGAAGTTGGGATCACGGTCCTGATGGGGGCGAAGCCACTTGAGGTTGAAGACGCTGTGTTCAAGATGACGAAAGCGATCTGTCAGTTTGAGATGAACAGTGTTGTCAGAAACAAAGGAGAGGATCTTGAAGGGACCAATGAAACGAGGACGGAGCTTGGGAAAGCTGTCGGTGACGGGAATATTCGTCGTTGAGAGCCACACGAGATCGCCGATGTTGAAATTGTGAGGGCGACGGTGTTGGTCAAGGGTCTGTTCAGTTGAACGAGCCATGTGATCGAGGGCATCGCGAGCTGCTTCCATGTGCACTTGGATGGCTTCGCGAATGTCGTCAGGATCATCAGACGAGTTGGAAAGGTCAGGGAGAGCCAGTTGAGTTTTGACGTTGCGGCCATAAATAATCTCGAATGGCGCAAGGCTTGTTGAACGTTTGACGGAAGAATTGTAATGCATCTCGAAGAGAGGAAGAAATCTGTCCCAGTCGTGGTTGACGCGATTGGCACAGTAGATGCGAAGAGCTTCAATCAAGACGGAGTTGAGGCGTTCAGGTCGAGCATTGCCTTGAGGATAGTAAGGCGAAGAATGCTTGATTTTGACCTGCAAGATGTCGAAAAGTTTAGTCCAAAAGGCAGAAGAGAAGATTTTTGCATTATCTGAAATGATTTCGTTGGGAAGGCCTTGGGTGGCGCAGACTTTCGAAACGAAAAGATCGGCGGCTTGTTGAGAGGTGAGGGTCTTCTTGCATGGAGACAGAAAGACACGGCCAGAAAAGTTGTCAACACAAACGAAGATCGAGTCGTAATGAGAACGAGTAGGCGGGAAGCCGGAAACAACATCGATGGAGATTGTAGCAAAACGATCAGACGGAGCTGCTTGACTGTGCGACGGTCCCATCTGTGGCTTGCGATAAGATTTGTATTGGATGCAAGATTGACAGGAAAGGATATAACGTTCGACTTGTTGACGCATAGAGGGCCAATAAACAACAGGAACAAGAGCCAAATATGTTCGAGAGAAGCCGCGGTGACTGTGAAGGTCATGGGCACGGTATAGAAGTTCTTTGCGAACAGATTGAGGAATGCAAATGCGTTGTCGGTGAAGACTATCTGTTAGAATCAGGAGATGATTTTCAATGTGAAAATACTTGTACGATGGGTTGTTTTGAACTGCTTGATAGATTGTAGAAAAGTATGAACACGAGGAATATGCTTGTACGATTGCGTCGTGAAGAGATTCAACGAGAGAAGCATTATCAGCAGGAGCATCGAGAGCAAGGAGATGATGAAAATCTTGATCATCTGAATGTAAGATTGCGTCAGCGCGTGGAGGTGCGACGTCGTCGTCGGGGTATTGACGGCTGAGAGCGTCAGGGACAACATTATCGGTACCTTTCACGTGCGCGATCTCGACGATAGAGAATTCACTGAGAGTTTCTAGCCAGCGGCGAAGACGACCTTTGAGATCCTTTTGAGTTTGAAAGTACGTGAGAGCCTTGTGATCAGTACGAAGGATGATGGGCTTGCCAAGCAGATAAAATTGGAAGTGAAGAAGCACGTCTTTGATGGCCAAAAGTTCGCGCTCAGTGGTTTGATAATTTCTTTCTGCATCAGTAAATAGGCGACTGTAGAATCCAATGACTTTCTCTTTGTTGGCAGCGTCGTACTGAAGAAGAACACCGCCGAGAGCTGTGTTTGAGGCATCGGTGTGAACTTCTGTTCTAAGCGCTGGATCAAAGTGACAGAGAATTGGGGAGGAGGTTAACCGGTGTTTGAGAAGATCGAAGGCTTGCTGGCACTCGGGAGTCCATTGAAAGACAACATTCTTACGAAGAAGAGCATGAAGAGGAGCAGCAATGTGGGCATAGTTGCGAATAAAGCGACGGTAATATCCGGAGAGCCCAAGAAATATTTTGATCTCCTTTGCGTTGCTGGGTGGTGGCCAGTCAAGGATCGCGCTGGTCTTACTGGATTGAGTCGATATGCCATCAGCAGAGATTTGATGACCGAGGAACTCGACACTATCTTGAAAGAGCTTGACTTTTGATTTCTTGAGGTAAACTTGATTCTCGCGGCAGCGCAGAAGAACGCGACGAAGAGTGTTGAGGTGTTGATCAAACGTGCCGAAATCAAGGATGAGCAAGTCATCAATGTATGGGAATACACTGGTAATATCACGAAAGAGAAGAGTAATCCATTCTTGAAAAATATTGCTTGCGTAAATGTAGCCGAATGGAAGATTGCGAAACTGATATTTGCCAAACTTGGTGATGATGGCGACATGTTTGCGATGATCAGGGGCAACAGGAATTTGCCAAAAACCGCGGAGAAGATCGAGAGCGGAAATCCAAAGTTTGTATTCAGAAGGGTGCAAGAAACGCTTGGATTTGCGAATGACCTCGGCGACAGATTCTAACATCTCCTCAGGGTTAGGAGTGGGATACCTGGGGTTGCTGTGGACCATGGCATTAAGTTTTCGCAAGTCAGTGCAAAGACGATAGCTGGAGGGATCTGTAGGAGATCGAGGGTCGTTTTTGCGGCGACTGTAAAGCACGGGGAAGCCAAAGGGGCTGTTGGAAGGTTCGATGATGTTGCGAGATAACAAATATTCCAACGTCTTTTGAAGTTCTTGTTCGAGGAAAAGCGGGAGCCGATAGGGTCGTAGACTGACAGGTTTAGCATCAGGTAAAATGTCAATGGTGGCCTGAAATTCACGAGAAATGTTATAATTGGCGGGCAGATCATCGGTAATGACATCAGAAAATTCGTCCAGAAGTAAAGAAATTGCTTGCTCCTCTGGGGACACATCAGAAGAACGAGCCGGAGAGAAAGAATTGGCTGACGGTGG